ATTTCATCAAGCATTGCATCAGACCACCCAGGATGATTCAAGGCCTCTTTTACTAATTTGGGTACAGAAACAGAGTCTAGAGAAACAATTAAAGATCTAGACGTAGAGGATAAGTGGCCATAGGAAACAAAATTACTAATGGAATATGAGTATTTGTAACTACGTGTACCTTTGCGAAGAGCAATTGGGAGGTCAAGATCTTGTGGAGGATCAGAAGAATGAGGATCTGATAACAAAGGAACTGATATAGGATATGTATCATTAGCCTCTCGCCTTCTCGAGTAAACTTGAACAATTGGCGGTCTGGCCACATCAGATGGAGAAGGAGCTTTCGAAACAATAGTCAATTGGTCCTCAATAGAAGAACTGAGAGATGGAGGGACAACATCGACAACATCTGATTCTTTTGTCAAAACACAGGTGACCTGATAGACTAGCCACTTATCTTCCTCCCCCTGACTTGTAGAAATTGGAGGTGCATAGAAGAATGGTGTAGTCTCTGAAAATACCACATCTGTTAACACCAAATATTTGCTAAGTTCTACAGAATAACACTGATACCCCTTTTGGAGGCGATAATAGCCCAGAAACACACACTTCAATGCCTTGGGACCCAACTTGGTAACAGATGGTCGAACATCTCGAACATAGCATGTGCTTCCAAATATCTTAGGTTCCACTGGAAATAGAGACTTGTTTGAAAACATAACATTGTAGCGCACATTACCAGCAAGCACACTAGATGGCATGCGATTAATCAAAAATCAAGTTGTAGAGACCGCATCTGCCCAAAATTGTTTAGGAACCTTCATTTGGAACAGAAGTGCTTGAGCTATATCAAGTAAGTGTCTATTCTTATTCTCAGCAAATCCATTTTAAGAAGGTGTATCGATGCATGAAGGCTGATGGAGAATACCATGTTGTCTCATATACGATTGAAATAATTCCAACATATATTCTTAAACATTGTCACTTCTCAGAATATGTATTGAAGCATTGAATTGTGTCTTGACTTCAGCACAGAAGGCACAAAAGTGAGTAAATACTTCTGAGCGACTTTTCATAAAATAAATCCAAGTCATCCGAGAAAAATCATCCACAAAAGTAACATAGTACTTATGCCCAGTTTTGGAAACAGCAGGACATGGTCCCCAAACATCAGAATGAACTAACTCAAAAGGTGACTCAACTCGCTTATTAACCCTTGGACTTAATGAGCTGCGATGATGTTTTGCAAATCGACATGACTCACATTCTAATGAAAAAATATTCTGGAATTGAGGGCATAACTTCTTTAATAGAGGTAGAGAAGGATGTCCCAATCGGACAATGTGCTTCAAATGGAGACACAACACTAGTGCAGGCAACAAACCGAGGCTCCCATTCATCAAGGATGTAGAGATCGTCAGATACATGTCCTTTTCCAATAACCTGATTCATCTTAAGATCACAAAACAAACAATGATCAGGAAAGAACGAAATAAACAATTAAGGTCTCTGGTAACTTTGCTACCAGAAATCAAATTAAAGGCCAATTTTGGTAGACTTAATACAGATGACAGAGTAATAGAAGAGGTTGGTTTAGCCATCCCATATACAACATTGTTGAAAGTTGATCCATCAGCTACGGTAACCGGAGAGGGTTCTTTGTGTGCTTGAAAGCAAGAAAAAATATTAGGATTACCTGTCATGTGATTTGTGGCACCTGAATCAATCACCCATTTATTTGAAGAGGTGATAAGACATGTTTTATTTGATTCAACAAAGGAATTAACTGAAGTGGATTCGAGTTTTTGTGGTATTGAGAGAATTTAGCAAACTCCTCCGCTAAAATTAGGACCATTTTGTTGGACTACAAGCACCAACAACTTTAGACCTTTGAATTCTCTGATTATAGTCGGTCATTTTCCCAACAAATCCAACCAGATTATATCCTAAAATCAGACAATACCCAAGATATGTTACATAATCAATTTACAACTGCACAATATTGTATATATGGTAGTCTAGCTGATTTGTAGGGATTTGATTATTTAATTTCCATAGTTTGTTAGTACTCTTTATGTATTTATATCATTGTAATCATTGAGCAATAAACAAGTTATTCTCTCCAAACCTTATCAATAATATGGTATCAGAGCCTTGTCGGATTAGAAAGTGTAGTATGTCGAACTTCACGGCTGGTCGTCGCCAGAATTAGCCAGACGTGGAGGCGCATGTGTGGACCAATATTGGTCTGGATTCCTGATTTGTGACGCCTTGAAATTCTCAGTCGACTTATGGTAGTCTTCTGGATATTGGACCAAGTTTTGAAGAATAATCATCAGCAACCAGGTTCTGTGATTTCTTTTGGTTATATTTGAGTTCGAATTTCTTTGTCTGCCTCTTTGATCTATTTTGAGCTGCAACGTTGTTTGAATTTTGTTGCTGTTGTTCGAATTTTATTCTCCACTGTTCAATTAGTTTCACATCTGGATCATTTGGGTATTTCATATTTTATTTTCTAGACCATCTCTAGAACAACTGGGTGTTTCAGTCTATTTGAGTTTGAACCCTTTAGGTGAGAGTTGGTTGCTTCATTGTTAAGACCTTTATATATGAGTGGAGCTCTTTTTGAGTTGATTCAAACAATCTGACTTGTTGGCGTGGACAGAATTGTTGGGATAACATTTTGGTGCGAAGCTTTGGCAGCTTCTCTAGCATTCTAATCGGAGAGCTTTGGCAATTTCTCTATTATTCAGATTTGATATAGTGAGTTTGGGGAAATGACCGCTTCAAGTTCATTATATGATAAAAAGGTTTTGGTTTCGGCGGAAGAATTTGCTAAAATCTCTCAATATCATAAATCAGTGAAGGCACCCACTTCAGCTAATGCTTTTATGGAGTCATCTCTTATCACGTCTTCAAATTAATGGGTGATTGATTAAGGTGCAACAAATCACATGACAGGTAATCCTAATGTATTTTATAGCTTTCAATCTCACAAAGCACCCTCTTCGGTTACTGTAGCTGATAGATCAACTTGCAACACTGTTGGATATGGGATTGTTAAACCAACATCATCTATTACCCTGTCATTTGTATTAAGTCTACCAAAGTTGTCCTTTAATTTGATTTTTGTTAGCAAAGTTACCAGAGACCTTAATTTCTATATATCTTTCTTTCCCAATCATTGCTTGTTTCGTGATCTTACAACAAATCAGATTATTGGTAAAGGACATGTATCTGATGATCTCCATATCCTTGATAAATGGGAGCCTCAGTCTGTAGCCTGCTTAAGTGTCGTGTCTCCGTTTTGAAGCACATTGTCGATTGGGCCATCCCTCTCTACCTCTGTTAAAGAAGCTTTGTCCTCAATTTCAGAATATTTCTTCACTAGAATGCGAGTCATGTCGATTTGGAAAACATCATCGCAACTCAGTAGGTCCAAGGGTTAATAAACGGGCTTAGTCGGCTTTTGAGTTAGTTCATTCTAATGTTTGGGGACCATGTCCAGTCACTTCAATCATATTTGGTATTCTCCACCAGTCCTTATGTGTTGATACACCCTCTCAAAATGGAGTTGCTGAGAGGAAGAATAGATATCTACTTGAGACAGCTCGGGCACTTTTATTCCAGATGAAGGTTCCTAAATAATTTTGGGCAGATACGGTCTCTACAACCTGTTTTCTGATTAATTGCATGCCATCTACTGTGCTTGTTGGTAATACACCTTATAGTGTTCTTTTTCCTAATAAGTCATTATTTTCGATGGAACCGAAGGTGTTTGGAAGTACATGTTATGTTCAAGATGTTCGACCATCTATTACCAAGTTAGATCCTAAGGCATTGAAATGTGTTTTTCTAGGTTATTCTCTCCTTCAGAAAGGGTATCAGTGTTATTTTACTGAACTTGGTAAATATCTTGTGTCAACTGATGTGGTAATTTTAGAGACTACACTATTTTTCTATGCACCTCTTAATTTTATAAGTCAGGGGGAGGAAGATGAGTGGTTAGTCTATCAAGTCACTCATGTTTTAACAAAACAATCTAATGTTGTTCCTCCATCTCTCAGTCCTTCTGTTGATCACCACCCAACTGTTGTACCTTCAGTACCTGATCCATCTGTGGTAGCAAGACCACCAATTGTTCAAGTCTATTCAAGGAGGTGAGAGACTGATGATACTTGTCTTGCACTGTTCGATCACTTGATCCTTCAGAAAATCTTGACCTTCCTATTGCTCTTCACAAAGGTACACGCACTTGCAAATCCACATATTCTATTGCTAATTTTGTTTCCTATGACCGCTTATCCTCCACGTCTAGATATTTGATTGCTTCTCTAGACTCCATATATGTACCCAAAATAGTGAAAGAGGCTTTGAACCATCCAGGATGGTCTAATGCAATGTTAGATGAAATACATGCCTTAGAGGAAAATCACACATGGGATTTGGTGGATTTACCAAAGGGAAAGAAACCAGTGGGATATAAGTGGGTCTTCACAGTTAAAGTTAATCCAGATGGTTTTGTAGCAAGACTTAAGGCTAGACTTGTGGCAAAAGGGTATGCACAAATATATGGGGTAGATTATTCAAACACCTTCTCTCCAGTTGCCAAACTCACTTCTGTTCGGTTGTTCATTTCTCTAGCTGCTTCTGAGAATTGGTATTTGCATCAGTTAGATATCAAGAATGCATTGCTTCATGGTGATCTTCAGGAGGAAGTTTATATGGAGCAACCACCCGGTTTTGTTGCTCAAGGGGATTATGCGAAAGTTTGTCATTTTAAGAAGTCATTGTATGGCTTGAAGCAAAGTCCACGAGTTTGGTTTGGCAAGTTTAATGAGGTAGTTCAAGCTTTTGGGTTGAAAATGAGCAAATGTGATCACCTAGTCTTCTATCGGCAATCAACATTTGGCTCTATTCTCCTTGTTGTTGATGTTGATGACATTGTCATCACATGAAGTGATTATGCGGGGATTTCTTCCCTTAAGTGTTTCATACATACCAGATTTCAAATGAAGGATCTGGGCCCGTTAAGATACTTTTTGGGAGTAGAAGTAAATAGAAGTAAGAAGGGAATTTTTCTGTCTCAGAGAAAGTATATTCTTGACCTGCTTGCTGACACTGGAAAGTTGGGAGCCAAACCTTGTAGTACTCCAATGGTTCCCAATGTGCATATTATGACAAATGATAGTGATTCTTTTGATGATCCAGAGAAATATAGAAGGTTAGTTGGGAAGCTTAAACTACCTTGTTGTGACTCGTTCGGATATTGCTTTTGCAGTTTGTGTTGTTAGCCAGTTTATGTCCACGCCTACGATTAAACATTGGAAGCTTTGGAACAGATTTTGTGTTACTTGAAAGGATCCCCTGGACTTTGGCGTATTGTATAGCAATCAAGGTCATACTGTGTTGAGTGTTTTACATATGCTGATTATGTTGGATCCAAAATTGATAGGAGTGTTTGTTGGAGGGAACTTAGTTTCATGGAGAAGTAAGAAGCAAAGTGTTGTATCTCGATCTAGTGTAGAATCCGAGTACAGAGCTATGTCACAGTCTACTTGTGAGATTATATGGATACATCATCTTTTAACAGAAATTGGCATAAAGCATTATACACCAGCTAAGCTCTGGTGCGATAATCAAGCTGCTCTTCATATTGCGTCAAATCCGGTGTATCATGAAAGAACTAAACATATTGAGGTCGATTGTCATTTTATTCGTGAGAAGATTCAGGAAAAATTAATTTCCATCGATTACGTAAAGACAGGAGAGCAACTAGCTGATTTGTTCACAAAAAACGTTAAATGGAACTCGAGTTGATTACTTTTGTAACAAGCTGGGCATGATCAATATCTATGCTCCAGCTTGAGGGGATGTTACAGAATCAATTTACAGCTACACAATATTGTATATATGGTAGTCTAGCTGATTTGTATGGATTTGATTATTTAGTTTCCATAGTTAGTTAGTACTCTTTATGTATTTATATCACTGTAATCATTGAGCAATAAACAAGTTATTCTCTCCAAACCTTATCAATAACAGACAATAACCTATTTTGGAACAATAAGCAATGTAATTGTTCTTCCCCACACCAATTCCACTCAAGGCTAGCTATCCAACTAATCAGAGACCCAAAAATAACTCCTGATAAATCAGAAAATCATCAAATAAAGATCCAAGTAAAAGTGTTGATTGAAGAGCAAAACCTGATGATGCAGATGTTGCCCGACACAGAGAGATGACCAGATTATTGGTCAGAAATGGGAAACTCTCTCAAATCGTGGTCTGCTGAACAAACAACTACCAAATCCCTACTGTAAATGTCACTGCGACATTGGAACAACAAGCAAATTGAATTTCTAATGCAGCACGCATAAATTTCTGATGCAGCACCACTACTGCAGTCACACTGGAAAGGGTACTGATGGAACGTGAGGCTCACACAAGTAACTTCTAGCCGTCGACATCTAGGGGTTTAAGATCGTGGGAAGTATCTTCTTCCTAAGTGGGTGGTGACAGAAATTTTAGAGCTCTCAATCACTTTCGGTGAAACTATAGTTGATTTCGGCGAAGTGACAGTGACTTCCGGCGAAGACAAAATACCAACTCAGACATTGGCTCTGATACCATGTAAATCATAACTTATTGAGAATAACTTGTATATTACTCAAAGAGAACAATGGTATAAATACATGGAGAGAATAAGCTAACTATGGTAACTAAATATTCTAATCCCTAAGAATCAGCTCTATTATCTATCTATCTATATTATTATACATATTCTATAACAGTCTTCAAGAACCCAATAGTCTATGTTCTATTTTCCTACTTATAAGCATGTTGATTGTTTTTCATTTTCATTGTAGTCAAACTTCTATAAATTCTTGAATGAACGGGGGACATATGGATTGTGCTGGGGATTTGGAGCACGCAGAGAAGCACCACAATTGTTAGTATTGTAGGCGTATAAATGTTGAGGAGGTTCAGGGTTCTATTCGTTGGATGTGTATGGTTAAAACGGCCAGGCCAGACGAGGTCCCAGAGGAGTTTTAGAAGAGCACAGGTTGGGCAGGTATGGTGTAGCTTGTTTAATCTTGTTTTCAAGACTGCGAGGATGCCCAAAGTATGAAGATGGAGTACAATGATTCTGTTGTACAAGAACAAGGCTGACATTTAGAATTTTAACAACTATCGGGGAATCAAGCTACTAAACCATACTATGAAGGTGTGGGAGAGAGTGGTGGAGATGAGAGTAAGGAGGGATGTGGCTATTTTCGAGAACCAGATCGGATTCATGCCGGGGCACGCTACTACATAAATCATTTGTCTCGTAAGGAGGGAGGAAGTAGGACTTTCATATGCTTAGAAGCTAGCTCAAGATATATTCTTTTGGAAATTGGTTTTGTGCTTCAAGGAGATATCAATTACTGAGATAATCTGTCAGGAAAGAGTTTATAGTGACAAATTACACAGTTATACTTACATATATTAGAAAATTCACACATGAGATGATTACGGAAGTAATCACCTTGCTATAGGTAAATAAAAAAAGTTTCTATAAGTAGTATTGTAGGCGTATAAATGTTGAGGAGGTTCAGGGTTCTATTCGTTGGATGCGTATGGTTAAAACGGCCAGGCCAGACGAGGTCCCAGAGGAGTTTTAGAAGAGCACAGTCAGGGCAGGTATGGTGTAGCTTGTTTAATCTTGTTTTCAAGACAGCGAGGATGCCCAGAGTATGAAGATGGAGTACAATGATTCTGTTGTACAAGAACAAGGCTGACATTTAGAATTTTAAAAACTATTGGGGAATCAAGCTACTAAACCATACTATGAAGGTGTGGGAGAGAGTGGTGGAGATGAGAGTAAGGAGGGATGTGGCTATTTTCGAGAACCAGTTTGGATTCATATCGGGACTTTCTACTACAAAAGTCATTCATCTCATAAGGTGGGGAAGAAGGACCTATATATGGTTAGAAGCTAGCTCAAGATATATTCTTTTGGAAATTGGTTTTGTGCTTCAAGGAGATATCAATTACTGAGATAATCTGTCAGGAAAGAGTTTATAGTGACAAATTACACAGTTATACTTACATATATTAGAAAATTCACACATGAGATGTTTACGGAAGTAATCACCTTGCTATAGGTAAATAAAAAAAGTTTCTGTAAGATTAGAGTCACTTACCTCATATTTTTGCTCTTATTAACAGAGTTGGTGAGGCTTATGTTCTTGATATCATGGAATTTATATACATTCCTGTAACTAACCTCAGAGGTTCTTGGTGAGTTTAAAAATGATGTCGGTCCTTCTGATGCACTAGGTTACTCCTGAGTACCACTTCGCAATGCATCATCTAGTCATCATTATGTGCTGTCTTTTGATGTTGATTTATTTTCATGTCATCAGCACATGAAATATGCTTACCTGGGCTCCGATATGCTGGTGGTAAACATGGCAAATGGTGGGTCGAAACATGTGGAAGCTATCTGATCAAGAGATACATTAAGAGAAGCAATGGAACTGTTACGAAACATGACATTCTCGATGCCACTGACATATTAGTCCCACGTTGGTGGAATAATCGGTTTCAGCATAGTAGCTATACAATACTTAACCTCATATATGCAAATCATCAACTCGTCCATGATATTAAGGTTAGCAATTTTCTTCTTTTCTCATTTGACAATAGTAATTTTACAGTGTCCAACCTAAAAAAATTTACATAATTTTGAATTATTGACACGAGACTGTATTGACAATCTTGATTAAATTGTACGATTGTTTCATTTGCGAGTACTTTACGTCAAGACTACATGGAACAGGATCACCATTGTTCAGAGACTACTACTAGTATATGTGAGACTAGA